GAATTACTTCAACTCTTCTTTAAAATCAGATGCTACTGTTGCAGGAAGTTCCCCAAGTTATTTCAATACAATCTCAACTTATGACCACAAATGGGACAGGGCAGTTGCATGACCCTTTTTTGCCCTGTTTAAGTGAATCACTACAGTTCATGTGGTGATTAAGCAAATCCAATTCCCCCATTGACTTTCCCTTGTCAGAAGCCCTCTAAGTGGGTCACAAATGGTAATGATGACATGACCCCAAGATTTCGCAACCCTCATAAATACATGCCAGTTGCCAAGTGTCTGAATTTGATCATGTGACTGGGGGATTGCTGCAACAGTCATAAATGTGAGAACCCATTGAAAGTCACTTTGAATGGCCGCTAAATGAATGGTTGTTAAGGATTACCTGCAAGTCCCTTTTTTGTTCATTCCAAATCCCTGCCTGTTAATGCCACGGGGGGAGCAAACTTTTCCTTTTTTTTAGTAAATAAAAGTTCTGTGTATTTATAGCTTCATTAACTTCAACAATGGCTTCTTTCTCCTTAAATCAAAAGCTCCAACGCTTTTTACCCTTTTCTCCTTTTCTCCATCCTTCTCCCTTTGATCATTTTGGCTGATATTTACAGCACTTTCCACAGCTTTGGTCTTTATAACAAATGGCTTGCTCTTTTTGTCTCTGCGCTGTTTTCCTTGTTGAGAAACAGAGAAAGACTACGCTTAGAGGGAAACCATGGTGAGATTTCTCCTGCATGCCCAGTTACAGGCTGGGTCAATTATAGTCAAAGCATCTTCCTTGGAATGTTCTCCTCTCTAAAGAACAGAAGGGATATTCATACCCATTGTCTCTTCTCCTTTTTGGTTTCTCTTTAAAAAGAAATACAAAATGTGATGCAAGCCAGAAAACAAAAAAAAGTCTTTAAAAAGGTGTAGTGGAATGAAATACAGAACCAGGGTAGTTCAGATCGAACTAACAGAGTTCAAAGAGACCTTGGAGATCTTTTAGCCCAACCTCCATCTCAAGCCGGAGACCCTACACCATTTCTGACACATGGCAGTCCAGCCTCTTCTTACAAGCCCACAGTGACAGAGCACCCACAACTTCCATTGATTAATTGTTCTTACTGTCAGGATATTTCTCCTTAGTTCTAAGGTTGCTTCTCTCCTTGATTAGTATCCACCCATTGCTTCTTGTCCTGCCCTCAGGGGCTTTGGAGAATAGCTTGACTCCCTCTTCTTTGTGGCAGCCCCTGAGATATTGGAAGACTGCTGTCAGGTCACTCCTAGTCCTTCTTTCCATTAAACCAGACATGCCCAATTCCTGCAACCGTTCTTCATGTTTCATTCAAGTATAGGTAGTTGAGTTATGGCCGCAATTGGGACAGAATTCCTGTTGCTAAGCAAAGCAGTTGTTAACTGAGTCATGTATCACTTTATGATCTTGTCAAGCGAATCGCTGCAGTTGCTACGTGAATCACAGTCATTAAGCAAATATAGCTTCCCCCATTAATTCTGCTTGTTGGAAGTCAGCTGGGAAGGTCGCACATAGAGGTCACATGACCTGAGGCACTGCAACTATAGTAAGCTCATCCTGGTTGCCAAGTACCGAAATTTTGATCATGTGACTTTGGGGAAGCTGTGATGATTGTAAGTGGAAGGACCTGTTAGTTACATTCTTTAAAATTGTTGCAACTTTAGTTCCAAAGTCAAAGCCCATGGGTAATCTTTGTAAGTCAAGGCCCTTGTGCCATAAGCTCCACAGGCAAGCTATGGAGAGACCCTGGAGTCACACAATAAACTAAACCAAGGGTCTCCAAACTTGGCAAGTTTAAGACTTGTGGACTTCAACTCCTAGAATTCCTGAATTAACATGACTGGAGGAGAAATTCTAGGAGTTGAAATTCACAAGTCTTAAAGCTGTCAAGTTTGAAGACCCCTGCACTAAACCAATGTATTTTAAATTTGGCAATTTTAAGACATATGGACTTCAATTCCCAGAATTCCCCAATAGCCACGTTAAAGTTGCCACTTTTGAAAAAAAAATGCACTAAACCAACAACATATCACCAATCAATAAGAGTCATCTTTCTCCTCTGCACAGCCAAACAGACATGAGCAGGCCAGGGCAATGATAAAATCATATTATTCAAAAGTTCAGGCTAAAGAACAACTTAAGCATTCTTTTCAGGTTCTGATGAGGCTTTAAAGATTTGTTTATAGAAAATTAAGTGCAATATGAGCTAATGAGATTGTTTTTTTTAATTGATAGTGATAAGTTGTTAAGATTGTTCAAACTTGCTGGGATGAAGAAGGAAGTTAGTTTTTCTTTTTCTTAGCACTCTTTTTTACACTTATTTTTTAATATTGCATTAGTTTTATCTGTATAATTAATATTTAATAAAACTTATTATTTTTAAAGACCTGCCCTTGTTCAAAGGGACATCATTTCTGGGTGAGATCCTTTAATGACGTAATAATAACCATGAGCAGGGAAATCCGTGGGATGTGTATATGTGAAAAATAGTTCAAGATGATGGCCTTGATTTTCCAAGTCCTGCATCTTATGTAAAACAAACAAACAAAAAAGCAGATATCCCTGACTATAAACACATGAAACTGTAATGTAATTTGTTTGGTTTGGACTTAAACCCTTTTCCCAATAGGGACTGATAGTATCTTTAAGCATTACCTGGCCAGCCTTGAGGTGCCATAAAAGCTGATTTTGTTTACTTTTACTTTGGTATGATGGTTGAATTGTTGTAAAAGAAGTTTTGGATATTGCCAAGGAGGAGGAAAGCACTACATTAAGGCCTGTCTGTGGAGAAAGTCTTACAAACATCTCAATCCAGACCAGTACTGAGATGAAACCAATCAAAAAGAACATGGCCCAGGCCTGTTTGTGTCGTGGGTGTAGATGTAGGGATACACACACCCCCAGTTATTAGTGCAATGTTTTTCAACCGTGACAACTTTAAGATGTGTGGACTTCAGTTCCCAAAATTCCTTAGCCAAACACGGGGGAATTCTAGGACTTCTAAGTCCACACATCTTAGTTACCAAGAACCTCTGCACTTGTGCCTTAGTATAATTGATGAACAACAGGTTTGCATTAAGAGAAATCCTTCTACTAACCCAGAAGCCAACAGACCGAGGATTATGATGACCCAATATTCATTTTTGTTACATGTGTCCTGGATAATAAAATTATCCAATGTCATGGATAATAAAATTTATAACTCTGTTCTTATTATCAAGTTACACCCTTTATCTCTGCTGCAAGATGAGGACATTGAAATAAGGAGGAAATTTCTACGAGAGCTACTAAGCAGTAGAATTGTCTCCTTCTTGGTCTCATGGCAGATCCATTATGGGAAGAGTTCCATTAAAGATTAAACATTTGTCTGAGATGCTCTGAATTCCTGCCCTGCACAGGGTTAGACCAGAAGATCTCCAAGGTGCCTTTCAACAGTATGATTTTTATGAAATATGGTTACAGAATTTCTGCAGGAGCAAAGTGACACCTGGGGAATGGGGGAAATCTCTCAATTTACAACCCACACTTAAACTTTGGAATTTATTACAAAATATGTGCTATCAGCTTGGCTAGCTTCAAGGAAGGGATGGTTCAGGGAATTCTTGGGGACCCTGGCAATTTAATGTCAGAAACTGTAAACTGCCTAGAATCATCCTTGCAAGATGGGCAGAATACAAGTTTAAAAAACAAAGAAATATGTTTATACCTGTATCTCACCTTATTTTTTTATAAGCAACTCAGGATGGCAAACATAGCTATATTACTCTTTCCTCTTCCTATTTTCCCCACAACAACCCTGTGAGGCAAGCTGGCCTGAAAGTGAGTGACTGGTCCAAAGTGGTTTTCATAGCTAAGGTAGGACTAGAACTCAGTCTCCTGGTTTCTAGCCTGCGCCTTAAGGACTAGATCCGTGATGGCACGCGTGCCAGAGCTGGCTCACAGAGCTCTCTCAGTGGGTAAGCACACTGTCTCCAGCTGCTCTTCTGATTTCTGGCGATTTCTGATTTCTGCACATATGGGCCGGCTAGCTGGTCTTTGCAGGCACCAGAAAATGGCCCGAAAATCAGCCAAAAAACAGGCCGTTTTTCAGGGTGTTTTCAGGCTGTTTTTGAGGCTGGGAAACTGGCCAGCTGATCTTCAGTTTTCCGGCACAAATCCGGCATGCGCACATGGTTTGGGCACTCAGTGCCAAAAAGGACTAGACCAAACGGACATCGCTATCACTGGACTAGACCAAACAGACTCTCTGCCCTTGATGGCAGCCTGACTGCCTCTGAAGGCCATCTGCTGAGGGTCCACAGAGTTTACAAAGTTGGTTAGCCACTGTGAGAACAGATTGCAGGATGCTCTAAGTTCTTAGGTTACAGGTAGTCCTCAGCTTACGACCACAATTGAGCCCAACATTTCTGTTGTTAAACGAGAGATTTGTTAAGCGAATTTGCTCCATTTTATGACTTTTCTTGCCATTGTTAAGTGAATCACTGCAGTTGTTAAATTAGTAACCCAGTTGTTAAGTGAATCTGGCTTCCCCATTGACTTTGCTTGTCAGAAGGTCACAAAAGGGGACCGCATGACCTGAGATATGGCCACTGTCATAAATACTAACGTTTAAATTTTGATCTGAAATGCTGAAACGGTGGTGTGAAACAACAACTTTTTTCCAGTGTCCTTGTAACTTAGAACGGTCACTAAACAAATTATTGTTTGGTCGAGGATTAACTTTATTACCCAACCCGCCGATGGAACGCACTGCTCCAAGATGCACGATGGGTTACACGCACACACATACCCATCTACCCTTTCAAAACTATGAAGCCATCCACATTGGTAGGCTGTGGCTTCCCACCTCCGAAAGACAAAGAGCCCTCCGGGGCGACTGACCGGCGTCTTCTTTCAAGCTCAGCCCGGCGAACTGGCGGGAAACCTGGAGCAGCGAGAGAAAGACACGTGGGAACCGCTGGGTTCCTGGAAGGCTGCTTTTCGGGTGGGACCGGTGGCGTCATGCTTATTGCTCCTTGTCGCCAGCAGCAACGGCCACAAACAGAGTTCCTCCCGACCCCCTCAGCTCTCCTTTCCGTCCGCCCAGGGCCCACCCTTTTCCCCCCCTCCTCCTGCGGGGAGGCTCCCTCCCTTCTTCTCCGGCGTTTAGTACCACACCCAGCTGCCCTCCCGTCTCGACCAGCCCAACTTAGGCGCTCCTCTTGCCTTCTCGGTCCCACGCGGAGCATCTTTCGCCAGATCGCCTCGCCACGCGAGGAGGCTTCGTCGGTGCAGACTCTCCGCCCGCCCCAAGCCTTGGAAGTACCGTAAGAAGGAGCTCCGGAGGAAAATTGGGGCTGGGGGAGACGCTCGGAGGAGTTCGGGCAGCCGTGGGGCGGGGCCCTTGAGGTTGGGGTGGGGGGGAGGACAGCGCGTGCGATTGAGGGGCGTCCAGAGTTTAAAGCCTCCCGACGTGCGTGGCTTGCGTGGCTGCTTTCTGAAAGGAAAGGGGATTTAAAGAGTTAAACGCAAAACTGGGCCGGGGGAGAATGCTAAGGCTAGAAATGGGGGGGTTGCTTAGCGTTTTGGGGAAATGAGGTGCATTTTCTGAGCTGCCCCGCCTCTCCAATGCGACTCTTTGCAGGACTGAGTGACTTGGGGGTCTCCCCTTTGCAGGTTTCGAGTGAGTTAATGGAGGTTACCATGTCAGGGTGCCCCACCCTGGACTTCCCCTTTTGAAAAAAAGAAGCCCACCACCACCCCAAATTGGTTTAATTTTGCAACAGGAGGCAATACCAGGGAGCTAATGGTCTTTTAAAAATAAAATAAAATAAACAAATAAATAAATAGGGAGAGGGTGCCACGCATTGCCAGGGTGGCTTTGGCAATCGGGTGTCTTTTATGGCAGGGAAGTGGGTGTAACAGGCTGTTTTAATGGAACAAGTGAGCAGCAAAGTTTATTAGCAGGGGTATCCAATCTTGGCAACTTTAATCCCAGAGGTATTCTGGGAGTTGAAGTCTTCCAAGTTGCCAAAGTTGGACACTCGTGGTTAATAAGAAAAGAGAAGTAGTGAAGATTTCAATATTTTCTCCAGGGCTAACTTCTCCATAAAGAAAACTCTGAAAATATTTTGAAATCTCAAATTGTGCCACTAAAGCATTATTACATAATTTGCAGTTTTACAGCCGAAGTCTTTGAAAACTCAATGCATTAGCTAAATAGGCCCTTCATATTTAAAGGCAGTATACCTTGATATAACTGCCAAGGAATAACAGGAAAAAAAATGTGCAACCTTGTGTTAAGTGCCTTTAAAAAGGCCTTTTTATCTGAGCAGACTTAAGGTGGGTGGGTGGGTTCCTCCCACAAGAGTCCAGCTTTTTCATTTTACCAGCTATTTTGGTCTCACAAAAGTTTTAATTAAGGGAGATGTGTCTACCTCTATTAATACTGTACTGCAATATTTTCTCAAAAGATCATTTTTTCTAAGGCTGGTCTGGTGAGGCAAGGATATTGTAATAGATCCTAGCTAGGTGTGGCCCACATCAAAACTGAAGCTGCATTCTAATGCTGTCTGAGAGCTATGCTTGTTACAATCTCAACAGTATTTAATGAAAGCAGAGGATAATTGTGCAGTAGATGAGACATGATGGAGTCAAAAAGTATATATTTGTATCAGCAAAACAGGGACATGCTGTATTGTTGAATACATTTTTTTCTGTAAGGAGAAGAGAGGTGTTTTACTAAGGGAATGTATGTGTGATATGACCGACGTCCATAAGTTTATACCGTGTATTTCATTGTGAATATTCCCAGTTCACTAGATGCTCGACAGTAGGAACCACTATGTTTATTTTTTCTTAATATCGTGTTTTTGTAGAATGCATATTCGTCTTAATTATCCTTAGCCTATTTTTGGTAGTATTATGACAAGACTCCAGAAAACAGAAGTCTGTACTGTAAATATTTCTCCTCCCTGCTCTATGCTGTGGTTAGTTGTTTATAATATAGTAACACATTTATCTGCATAAGAATTTATTATTTTTAAAATTCATAACCGCTTCCCTGCTTGTGGCAATATGATTACTACAGGACTAATGCTGTTAGATCTAGGCTTCAAAAATCCAAAGGACCATTAGATGGCAGCCAATTATTACAATTTCTAGATTTCTTTACTGCCATCTATTGTTTTTTCAGAGTTTTGCAGCCCAGTTCGGTAGCCTTTCTGTTGTCCACTAAGGCAGAAAGTTCGAAGATTTCCAGGCTGTGGAACCTGTTTGTTAAGATTTTTTTTTCCTAGAATCCTTCAATCAAGAGGCAAAACTTTTGTGACATAGATTGTGATTAGGTGAACTTTTTTTCCCTCTTAATTTCTTCTGGAGCTCCATCAAGTTCTCACAGAATCTTGAGTTTGGCAGAAAACAGCCTGAAAAAGCTTGCACTGACTAGATCATGAGGATGCTTTTTTTTAAAAAAAAAGTCCTAGCTTTCTTGTTTTTATAAATAACTCAAGATGGCGAATATACATGATACTCCTTCCTTCTCCTATTGTCTCCATAACAACAACCTTGTGAGGTAAGTGGGGCTGAGAGAAGAGAGTGACTGGCCCAAAGTCAACCAGCCAAGTTTCACTTAAAACTCATAGTCTCCTGGTTTCTAGCCAGGTGCCTTAACCATTACAGGTAGTCCTTGACTTGTGTTTAGCGACCATTCAAAATTAACGACGACATTAAAAAAAAAGACTGACGACTAGTTCTTGCACTTACAACATCGCTGTGCATTGTTGCAGCATCTCCACAGACACATGATCAAAACTGGGCAGCCTGGCAACCGGAATATATTTTCAATGATTGCAGCATCTCGGAGTCATGACGTTGCCATTTGTGACCATCCCAGCTGACAAGCAAAGTGATTAATTTAACAATCATGGCGAAAAAGGTAAAATTGAGTATAATTCTCTCACTTAACAGCTGCCTTGCCTGGCAACCGAAATTCTGATTCCAGTGGTGGTCTTAAGTAGAGGACACAAACGTGCACCGGCAACAATGGATTTCTGTTCATGGTTTTGCAACAGATTTTCTAAAATATAAATTCTCCTCATGCAGGCATATGCACAGAAAAACACCCTTTAAAAATCTAATGCCATGCTTTGAAAACCGAGAAATCCCGTTTCTTTAAGGATGATAAAAAAGATCTCCTGAGTTTGACAATAAATAATATTAGATCAATCAGGGTATTTCTTGGCTATTACAACTGAAATCTATTAATATGTATTTATTTGTAAAATATATTCTGTAGTTTAATCAATAGTTCACGTAAAAGAGGGAGTGACCCCTTTGTATTATCTAAGGAATTTTACGCAAGTTCACGTAAAAGAAGGAGTGACCCCTTTGTATTATCTAAGGAATTTTAAGATATGTGAGCTCCCAGAATTTCACAGCCATCATGTCACACCCACATCTTCATGTGGATAAGTTTGAGAAATACTGATCTAGAGAGATACAAGGTTTAAGGATTCCGTAGCTTTTAAATATAGGTAGTTCTCGATTTATGACCAGTCACTTAGCGATCATTCAAACTTATGACAGAGCTCCCCAGATTATGACCTAGTTCCAAAGTAACAACAGCAACTTTCCATCTCCACCCTGTAATCAGTTTATCCCATTTTGGGCACATGCCAACCGGTGGCATCTATATCTGTCTGCAGCGTTCTGCAATTTTTTGGCTGGAAATCAGCATTTATTGGGTATAACGAGTTTAATTTAGACTATTCTGTTTGCTTAAACATCGGCTGTTTAAGGATCGCTGCAAAAAAGAAAGTAAAATTGGGTGTGGTCACGTGGCGACCTGCTAATGAACGCCACGAGTTACTACTGCAAATTCTGGGCTCAGTTATGGCGGTAAGTCAAGGGCTACCTGTTCTTTGAATCACCTTTATTTATTTCAATGCCTTGCCATGACCCACCTAGCATTACTTCTCAACTCTAATTTTATCCAGTGAGTTCTGCTTTTTTTCCATGTCTTCTGCTTTTGTGGGCACGGTGCTGGGGTTTTCAAGGGAACAGGGAACAGGAAGCAGCTCTTCTAAGATCCTGCCTCTAGAGTTTTCTGTGCTTGAAACAAGGCTTCGATTGTATCCTGCAGTGTGTAAGAAATAGTTCTACACCCTGGGCGTTGCCACCTCTTCTTTGCTCAAGGGTTTTTTTTTTTCTACCAATGCACGATGACTGAATATTTTCTCAGTAATTGTCAGTATTACTTCCAGTAAATGCAAATTCCAACCACTCTTTTTATATCTTTGGTCCAGACTGTTCATAAGATTACGTGAAAATATTCTTTGATTAGTTGTTTATCCATTATTGTTTAGATAATGCTTATATTTTCCTTTAAATTCTGATCCTGTTATGATGTTCTGAGACAGCCTTAAAATCACTGATGGATTTGACTTTTGCAGGTTCCTTCATCAATTGCATGTACGTCTTTGAATGTACCTTGCAGGGTGAGAGAACGAATGTGGTAAAACTGCATGTAGAATTTTGTTTTTGTTCCATCTTCAGCATCAATCAAATCAAATTAAATCTTTATTACAGTCATACACCAGCATAAGAAGGGTGGGATACAAATAGTAATTTTAGAAGCATATTACATGTGAGGAGTGGAGGGAGAGATGTATATAAAATTTTACCCTTGGTATTGGTTAGTGTGCTTGGAAAAAAAACATTAAGATGGATGAATCAACTCAAATGCACAGCAGAGTCAAATGGAAAACAGTCTGTTTATCTAGATCGTTCCATTTCAGGCTGTAGATCAAGGGTTACAAGTCTGAAGTTATCTCATCAAGGAAGCTTTTAGTATAGTTAGAAACTGCCTGTTGAAGAACATTGATAAATTCTACTCTCTGAAATGCTCATTTTCTCAGTGCAAAGATAGGGAAAAGATAGGAGGATTCGTACAGGGAATTGTTTTTCTGCTACCTGAAAAATGACGTTGTCTAGCAGTTTTTTCCTCTTGATTTGATTGTGTCAAATTGTGCAGCTGCATGTTAGCCCGGGAGAACAGCTTTGCAAAATAGGCTGTTCAGTCACCCATTTCCCCTTTGTTAGGCTGCAAAGAACCAGCATGGCTGTATGTGCCTGGATAATATAGCACAACATTTTAGTGAAAACTAAACCTTGCGGCTTCCTGCAAAATATCCTCTACAGTGGCACAGTTTCTATATAGTGAGTGCTAACAGGCAATGTAAGCCATTAAAATTTTAAAACCCATTTTAAAATGGTTTAAAGTGGTTTTTCTGCTCTCCTTTTCTTGAAGAATAAAATATATGAAGAATGGTTACAGGAACTGGGCTTGGCTAATCTAGTAAAGAGAAGGACCAGGGGAGACATGATAGAGGTCTTCCAATATTTGAGGGGCTGCCACAGAGAGGAAGGGGTCAAGCTATTTTCTAAAGCTCCTATAGGCCAGACAATGAATAATGGATGGAAACTGAACAAGGAGAGATTCAACCTGGCAATTTTCTGACAGTGAGAACAATCAACCAATGGAACAGAAGTTGCCCTCGGAAGTTGTGGGAGCGCCATCACTTGAGACCTTCAAGAAGAGATTGGACTGCCATTTGTCAGAAAGGGTGTAGGGTCTCCCACTTGGGTGGGGGGTTGGACTAGATGACCCATAAGGTCCCTTCCAACTCTGATTATCTGTTTATCTGTTTAAGCATCTTACCTTTACTTTCAAACATCTCTCTTTTTCCCCCCTTTCCTTTCCTTCTCTCCAAACACCGGGAGGGGCTGATGGGTAGGGCAAGGCTACCCTACCAAAGGATTCTGGCTTCTCTTGCAGCCAAAGTGAAAGGAGCTTCTAGGAGACATTTCTGACTTTGGAGCTGACAGGAAAGGAAATCCTTGCTTCGGGATATGCAGGAGGGAAAAGGAAGGGTGGGCTGCATTTTTGGGGAGATGGCTCAGAAAGGAGACAGTGAAATTGGCTTAACGCCTGGGATTTCTCTGACTCACCCTTCCGCCCCGCCCTCCACCCCCTTCCGCAAGCTCAGAAGGAGAGCTTGATTAAAACCAAATGTCCAACACTGGACAAAAAGGAATTTTTCTCTTTCCCTTACATGGATAACATGGTTTTTCTCTTACCCCTCCCCTGCTCAAGTCTCCACCCTTTCTCAGCCCTTGTTGTTTGCCTTCTTCAGGAAGTTAGTGTTTCCCTATTTTGGCTTGAAAAAATAGCAATTCTTTTTGTCTTGTAATGTAATCGTGAGGCACAGACAGATTGCGGTAACTTTTTAGTCCCCAGAAATTGTTGTCCATTCTCCCATTGCATCTTACTTTGACACAGTCCAGAGAGCAAAGGGCTATATTAGCTTTGGGTGGACAATACGCCACCCAGACTTTTCCAGCCTCTGGGACTTTTGGACTTCAGTTTCCATTATTCATAACCAGTTCATAATACGTGCTGTGTAAGTCGGGAAGATTTATCTCAGTTTACAAAAGGAAACAGCTTTATTAGAAGAATTTAGCTTTATTAAAAGAATTTCTTTGGCCTGATTCCAAGCTGGGTAATCCAATGAAAAATGCAGGATGATTGTTCCAAATAGAGGAAGGATTTTCTTCCAAAAGCCAGACAGCAAAACGAAGATTCAGCCATTCTTCACTACGGAAAGCTGAGAGGGACATTACATATAGCGACAAGGGGCTGTGATGTGAGGCTGATTTGAGGCCTATTAGATGTGTAAAATAAGATGCCCTTTTGCCCTTTGGATGTGTGAGGCTTGAGGATCCCTTTGGGGTGGGTGTTCTTAGATGCCCAGATCCTTTCCTAGGTGCAGTGTGGATTTTCATGAGATGGAATTGTCTGGCATCAAAGTGGAGCATAGACACAAAAGATTTCCCTTGATGAAATTCCATTTCTCTACCGGAGCCGAAGAGGTGAGCTCAATCAATTTTCGCCCAAGTGGCATCTGTCAGGCTGGGGCAATGTTTAAATTAACTGAAGTTTATCAAAGGAGTTACAATTGTAAGTGTAACTTTTTAGTTACCTCAATAAAATATTGGGACAATTCTAGATTCTACCTTCTGTTGAGAACCTTTTGTTATTGAGAATGCTTTTTATCTGCACTAGTTGAGTTAGCTATGCCAAATCTGAAAAAAAGTACTATAAATCAAGATAATGAGAGCTACATGTTATCTGGAGAATTCTAGTTATGAATCCAGCCCTATAGACATGCCCACTATTTCAACATTATTTCAGCTCCATAAATGTGCCCATTATTTCAACAAACTGGCCAGGAGTTAAGTGGGAAATCAATAAATTTGATACATGAAAAGACTAATGGATCTGCAATGTATTTAGTGCAGAAAGAAGATTATAGTTTTAAAAAAACTGGTCATAAAACAGAACACTAGAAGAAGCCACTAGAAGAAGTCAGACAAAAAAAATGTCACTACCAATATTTCTGGGGCCAAACTGTTGCTGCATTATATGATTTGTATTGTGTTGAATGCTTCCATGCACATAGCCTGTCCTGCATGTGGGAAGCGGATTGTTTGAGACATCCTTGGGGTTGGCTGAAATTTATATCTCCTATTATTCAGATGGGGCATGATGGCTCAACAGTTAAAGATGCTGGGTTTGTTGGCTGGAAAACTAATAAGATAGATACCCTGGGTTCGAGACCCGAGCTCCACATAATGGTTGAGCTCCCATCCTTGCTCCAGCTCCTGCCCACCTAGCAGTTCAAAAGCATGCAAATGCGAGTTGATTAATAGGTACTACTTTAGTAGAAAGGTAACAATCTGTGTGCCTCAGCATTTAACCATGATGACTACATGACCATGGAAAATGTCTTTGGACAATGCTAGCTTCCGGCCAAGAAATGGAGATGAGCACCTTCCCCTATAGTTGGACATGACTGGACAGGGAAAACCTTTACAGGCTACAACATACAATGAACAGTTGAAGGAACTGGGCATGTCTAGTCTAGTGAAGTGAAGAACCAGGAGAGACATGGGAGCAGTCTTCCAATATCTGAGGGGCTGTCACAGAGAGGAGGGGGTCAAGCTATTTTCCAAAGCACCCCAGACAATGAACAGTGGATGAAAATTGGACAAGGAGAGATTCAACCTGGAAATAAGGAGAAACTTTATGACAGTGAGAACAAGCAACCCATAGAACACAAGTTGCCTTTAGAAGTTGTGGGAGCTTCATCCCTGGAAGCTTTCAAGAAGAGACTGGAGTGCCATCTGTCAGAAATAGCATACCTAAATAAGTAACATAAATGAATTATAAACCTCAGAGCAGGCTGATAAAAATTAAATTGTCTATGTTTAGTTGAACTACCCTCTTTTTTTCCCCTTGTAGATTTTGATGTCCCACAGTTGCTATCATGGATTAGAACGTCCATGTTGCCCACAGGCAAATGTTGATAGATTACCTATAGACATTTGGCACAGGAGTGGGCCAGTATGGCAACTTTGTGGCTGATTAAGGAATTCTGGGAATTGAAGTCCACAAGTCCTAAAGTTGCCCACCCCAGCCCTGGAGGCTAAACTATGTGAGGAAAGGTTAAGTCTGTCTAGTGTAAGAAAAAGAACGTTTAGGGGATATCTTCATAGTGTCTTCCGATACCGGAGGGGCAGTCACCTGAAGGAGGGGGTTGACTTTTTATCCAAAGCACCTGAAGGCCGGACAAGAAGCAGTGGGTAGAAGCTCGTTAAAGAGAGACCCAATCTGGAATTAAGGAGAATTTTCCAGGCAGTGAAAACGAACAGCTCGCCTCCTAGAATTGTGGATGGTCCATTGTTGGAAGTCTTGAAGAAAAAAATTGGTCGGCCATTTGTCTGGGATGTAATAAAATGTGCTGTGGGCAGAGGGTTGGATTAGAAAAACTTCAAGGCCCCTTCCAGCCCTATGATTCTATAGTTCTCCAGACGTGGGACTAGAATTCATATGTAGATAGTTCTCAACTTATGGCTGTTCATTTAGTGACTATTTGAAGATACAACGGACTTCTCAGGTCTACTTATGACCCATATTCAGAGTTCTGATGGCCTCTGCCTGTCACATGATCAAATGTTGGTTGTGTTTGCAGCATCCCATGGTCATGTGACCAGGACTTAGATGATTTTTGCCAGAAAGTGGTTGTTACTTCCTGTTTTGGCAAAAAAACAATAACAAAAACCCAAACACACCCATTGTAGACAAAGGATTTGCCTAACAATAATGGCATTCCCTTAATAATCGCTGCAAAACCGGTCTATAAAATTGGGCATGGTCACATACTGACCTACTTAACAACTGACACAACTTGTGATCATAATTCCGGGCTCAATGGTGATCGTAAGTTGAGGACTAATCCATTCTGATTGGGACTGCTTTCAGATCTTGTCCAACAATGCCTGGAGTGATAGATCTCTCCTATCCCTGCTCTGACTTCTACAATATTCAGGCAGGTTCAGGAGACAATGGCACTTAAATTAGTCTTCCTCAACTTGTAGTCCTGCAGTTATTTTGGCTTATTACTAGGAAAGAGAAGAATGGAATTCTGATTGGAAATAGTAAGACGGGAAATCCAACCTGTTTCGAAGATGCAGGGGTGCAGAAGGCTGTGGGAAATCAGGAGAGTCAGGCAGTACAAACGAATATAAAGATTTATTGCAAAGTTAAGCTCTCTAAAGAATCTGACCCACTGGCAGTTAAGGGAAATGAGTGGGTGATAAGAGAGGCATTCACAATAGACTGGACTTCGATCTCATGTGGGCACGCAGGGACTCATGGCTTATGACGCATTTGACCACTCCCCTGGGCTCAGCCTGGTCTTGTCCTACATCTGCCCACTGTTCCTTTACTCCTTAGCCCTAAATTCAGGAAATGTATTCTAAATTGTATATTTTCCATGTGATAAAGGTTTTGCATTTTGTGTCTTTCTTCTCCTCCCTAGATCTTTGCACAATGCCAGTAACCCGCTCAAAATCAGTGGGCAACACCAATGCCCTGACCTCTCCCTTGGGCATCGTTCGCCTCCTGGAAGCCCTTTTCACCTGTGTGGCCTTCAGCTTGGTGGCCAACCGGGAAGCCTGGTATGGCCGCAATGGGGATTGGTGCATGTTCTCCTGGTGCGTCTGCTTTGCCATCACCATTGTCATCTTGGTGGTTGAGTTTGCTGGCCTCCAGCATCGCATGCCCGTCTCTTGGAAGAACTTCCCCATCACCTTCGCCATGTATGCCACCCTAATGTGCCTCTCTGCTTCCATTATCTACCCGGTATTCTTCATTTCGAATCAGCGCCTTTCTCGTGATGAACGGGGATACCGCATTTCCGCCACTGTGTTTTCTTGCCTAGCCTGCCTGTCTTACCTCACCGAGGTCAGCATAACCAAAGCTAAACCAGGAGAAGTCACCGGCTACATGGCAACAGTCCCAGGATTACTGAAGGTGGTGGAGACTTTTACTGCCTGCATCATCTTTGTCTTCGTAAGTGACCCGCCTACTTATGACCACCCAGATGCTCTTAAGTGGTGTATGGCGGTCTACTGCATTTGCTTCATCCTCTCCCTCGTGGTGATTATCCTCTGCATTGGCGAATGCACTGGCTGGTTGCCGTGTCCATTCAACAAATTCCTCAGCGGCTACACTTTATTGGCTGTGCTCATGTACGCCACCGCCACAATTATTTGGCCCCTCTACAAGTTTGACCGAAAGCATGGGGGACAGCCATCTCGAAGTGCAGTCTGTGGAGGTAGCCACTTCTGTATATGGGACAAGAACGTTGCTGTGGCTGTTCTAACCGCCATCAATCTGCTCATGTACCTGGCAGATCTGGTGTACTCTGCACGGCTGATATTCATCCAGGGATAGAAGGTGGCTGGCAGTTAGGAGCATCAAGGCAGCAGTGTCCAAAAGAAGGGAAGTGGAAAGAGAAGAAGGGGTCATGCTTTTCTCTCTTTTGCTCTGATTTTTTTTCCTTTCTTCTGCCTGCAGTCTCGGACTAATTCATTCTCTTTTTCTCTCCTGCCTTCTCAATTGCCTTCTTCTTAGCTTAGATTTACGCTCTGTGCTTGCCACACAATAATTCTTTTCCTCTCTCTCCATCCTGATCCTATTGCACATAACAGCAAAATGATAATTTGTTGTATTGCAGAGTTTGGGATGGCTCACAAATGCTTCTCCCTAATCATCTTTGGCTATTCCCATGCATGTATCTTCGACAGTATAGTTCGTCAGGAACTTTGTGTTCCGAGCCATGAGAAGATGCTTAGGGCTGTTAAAAGTGGTGTTGAAATTGCAGGTGCCAGTTGAGTGGGGGGGAAAAAGCAGGGAGAGAGAGAGGGGGCGGGGGCACACACTATTCTCGATGGGGAGACTCCAGGATGCAGGTTGTCCTCGACTTACAACAGTTCATTTAGTGATTGTTCAAAGTTACAATGACCCTGAAAAAAAGCAACTTAGGAACCGTTTTTCACAACAACCATTGCAGCATCTCCATGACCCATGTGATCAAAATTCAGATGCTTGGCAACTGAGTCACATTTATGACGGCTGCAGTGTCCCGGGATCAGGTGATCACCTTTTGAGGCCACCTGAAAAACAAAGTCGAGGAGGAAGACGGATTCCCTTAACAAGAATTCATTCACTTAGCAACTGTGGCAAGAAAAATGAAAAGGGAGGCATAGTTCACTTAACAAATGTCTTATTTAGCAAAAGAAATTTTGGACTTGATTGTGGTTGTAAGTCGGGGATTACCTATATTCTCATAAGAATCCACCTCCTAACATTTTCTTTAAATTACTTAGTTTGCAGTTAAGTTTCCCATTTTCTGTTTTTGTCACCCTGGCTACCCTCTATCCAGACCACTAACTTCCAAAACACATGCCAGCAGCCACCATCAGCCAGTAAGATTCAGAGAAAAAGTATGCAGCTAAAACAGGAACTTTGCTAGCAGAAAAGAAGAATTCGGAGCATTTTTGATGTACATATTTTATTTGGCCTTAAAAAAATATTCCTCCATATTAGTGCCTTCAAAACATTGGGTTCCTCTTTCTGTCATCATGCAAAGAAACCCCTTTGCCCTTACCAAATATACTTGCTGTTTTCCATCATGAATATGTAATATTTGTTTTGGGAAAGGTGGATGTTTACAGTAGAGCCATTGGCTGCTTGCATTTTCCATTGGATGAATGGGGACTGCACAGAAGCAGCGCTAGACGGATGGCTTGCTTTGCACCACCATGGAGGGTTTATTCTCCATGGTTGCTCGGGGAGAAATTAACTGTACAGTAATGGATTCATGTCTGCCAGTAAATCTGCAATAGAAATCCACCCATATCCTGCAAAATAATTTATGCAGGATTTGTTGAGGCTTGCAGTAACTTTCCTTCAAAAAGGGCAGCTCTCTCTCTTTTTCTTCAAAAGTCAACAAAACACATTGGGGGGGTTACAAGGAACATTCTGATATGGGGAAATGGAAAGACACTTATTTGTGATTGCACCAGGCTGAAAGATAACAACTGCAGTGGAGCAACATTTAAGTAAGAGTTACAAATTCTTGCCTTCAAGTTTCTTAACAAATAGATTGTTTTACAGAAAGATAGTGTAAATTGTTTTTCTTTACATTTTGATGTTTTTTTTAAAGTGTATAAGACATCCTCTGTTTTTTAAATAAAACATGGTAGAAAAAGACATGCTTTGCAAAGTATTAAATGCATAACTTTTGGTTTCTTTATGATTGTTAATGTAGTTTTTTTTTTAATATTCCAAGCATTTGGTATTAGATAATACTGTTTTTCAACTTTGTATTTCAGAAAACATAAGTCTTTTCCCATTAGCTCAGCAATAGAAGTTATTTGTATGTGTTTCTACTGCATTTACCAAAATACTTATAACATTATGCAGCGTAGGTAGAAATATAAGCTTCCTTCTTGCCTCAATTACCCACAACTTCATCTACAATGTTTTTATTATTTTTTGAAATATGCAAATCAATGTATGTGTACAAAATAAAGGAGCAATGATACAATGAAGTGTGTCAATCCTATTTCTAGCATTTCTGAATTAAAAAAGGTACATTTTGGACACCAAGGGGCTGAATAGCTACAGTAGAAATAGGCTTTTTTTCTGACTTAAGGGGCACTTCAAAAATGGATTTTTACACCAGTTTGATAGCAGCTGCAGATTTCTATGATCCTCCAATATTGGATTGTTATTAGAGAGGTCTGAACTGATTTATTTTTGGCTTAGCTGTTTAAAACTTCAATAAAAATAGTCTTTTCATCTCTTTCTCTCACTTTCAGTTTATTTTTGAAGCACCAAGCTTACAGAACTTACAGTCAGCTCATTTATATATTTATTTGCTAGAATCTTAGACCACCCTGCAGCTAGATGATTTATCAAAAATAAAACATCAGTAATACAATAAAAATATTCATAATCTTCTTGAAATGAGCAAACAAATAGGACTGGAGGCTAAAAATATAAAGAATGGTTGCTGGAATTGGGTATGTCTAGTTTAATGAAAGGAAGGACTAGGGGTGAAAGGTTAACAGTGTTCCAGTATTTAAGGGGTTGCCCCAAGGAAGAGGGAGTCAAGCTATTCTCCAAAGCACCAGAAGGCAGAAGAAATGTTTGGAAACTAATGAAGGAGAGAATCAACCTAAAACTAAAGAATAGTTTCCTAACAACAATCAGTGGAATGACTTGCCTCCATTTAGTGGAGGTTTGTAAGAAGAGATTGGACGCCATTTGTCTGAAATTGTATAGAGACGTGATGGTGAACTTAGGCCATGCGTGCCATAGGTGGCACGCAGAGCCATTTGTGTGGGCACACGAGCCCCAGCAAAACTTACGTGCACTGCGCATGCACATGCCTTCCAGCTGATTTTTGGCCCAGCCTTTTTCGCCCTCCTGGAGGCTTGAGGGAAGCCTCTGCCGCCTCGGGAAGCTGAAAAACCGGCCTTCCGGAAATACCAGAAGTGCCGAAATGGTCCCATTTTCAGCCTCCAGAGGCTCCACAGGCTTTCCTTGAGCCTCAGGGAGGGTGAAAACGGACTTCCCCAAGCTCCACAGGCTCTCCGGAGACTGAATTTCTGGAAGGCCCATTTTTCGGCCTCCTGAGGCTTCAGAGGCTTCCCTCGAGCCTCCAGGAGGGCAAAAACTGCCTCAAATGGGCTGAAAATCAGCTAGGAGGTGCACGCATGCACAGTGAAAGAAAGGGGGTGGGATGCATTGCATTGTGGGTGCTGGCACGCGCACGCTTTTGGCACACCACAACAAAAAGGTTCGCCATCACTAGTATAGAGTTTCCTGCTTGAACAGAAGGTTGGACTAGACTGCCAAGGTCCCTTCCAACTCGATTATTCCATTATGGTTCCTACAGCATTATAGAAAAAAATCCTTTGAATATTCATTTTAACTTGGATAATGATAAGCCCAGGCGTGGGATTCAAATTTTTTAACAACCGGTTCTGTGGGCGTGGCTTAGTTGGTGGGCATGGCTTGGTCATGTTATTGGCTGGGTGTGGCCAACTCAATATCACTCACATCGAGGCACGCCTCTCCTCGCCTGGCCTCTCGTGACTGTGGGGATGCTGCAACAGTCATTAGTGTGAAAAACAGTCATAAGTCACTTTTTTCAGTGCCATTGTAGCTTTGAATGGTTACTCCGTACAAGCAAAGTTCCAGCAAAGGAGGGGGAAAAAACTCCAGAGAAGTTCCAGAGACAGGAAGTCTAGTCCTGCCAAGAATGTGATAAGGGTTAATGGAGAGGCAGTTTCTGTAAGCAACACCAGAATGTTTCCTTCCTGCCTTCCTTACAGGATTAGGCCAGTAATTTCTTCTAACAACCGGTTCTCCAAACTGCTTAGAATGTTAACAACCGGTTGTAGCAAATAGGTGCGAACCTATAGAATCCCACCCCTGGATAAGCCCCATTCCATTTGATGTCTTCTTCACTCTACAGTAGTATTTTTCAAACATTTATAGATAAATAGGCTTCAGCTCCCAAAATTCCCCAGCCAGGCTGGCTAAAAAATTCTGGAATTGAAATGCACTCATCTTAAAGTTGCCAAAATGAAAAACACTGGGCTATTGTCATCTGTTAAATAAATCTATGGGATAGATATATGGGAGCCACAATAGAAAAACATCTCCATCCTTAGCCCTCTGTTCTTGCCATTGATGGGGAACTACCAACAATTTGGAGGAATTCCCGCCTGTCCACTCCAGATCTTGGAAAAGGAAGGGTAGCCATCCAGCTTTGCAGCTCCTTTCCAGAAGAACCATGAAGATTTTTGTGTGTAGACTTTTTGTATATGATTATAGACAGGTGCACAGGATGAGCAAATATTTTTCCTTCTCTACTGTGTAGGGATTTTTTTATATATATAAAATTGGTGCAATAGCCATTTTTGCTTGTTCTGTGTTTGTTCCCATGTTGGCAGATTTGAAGAGGAAAAACTTTTGAAGGATCAGAAACACCCTTTTATGGAAGAAGGTATTTTATGGGTGTGAATTTTCTAAATGTGGCTTAATGAAACATCATTTCCTTCTCCATCGGAGGTTTAAATCATCTCCTGGATTCATTTTTATCTACTACACTAGCAAATTATAAAACTGGTGCTAATACTCAGCCATTTTTGAGACTTCTGGAGTCATAAGGGATCTCTCCCTTCCTTTCCCACTTCCACTTTTTAAAGACTAGGGACTAGCAAATCTGAGTGGCAAAATTCTGGATGACCTCCTGATGGCAGCAGAGAGACCTATCAATACTGCCCCCTAGTGGTAGTGTCAGCCTCAAGATCTCTTCAGCTACATCCTCTCTGCTGCCAGGCTTAATTCTTTCGGCTGTCATTAGCAACGGGGGGGGGGGGGGGGGGGGGGGGGGAAGGGGGCTGGAGGTGTTTTGCATTCCTTTACTGTGGGTAAGCAAGGGGAGGGGGTGTATGAATTCTTGTCTTTAACTTTCCATTTCCTTGCTAGCTTCTATCCCCTTTTGCGCAGCTGTGAAGTTTTATCAAAATATGTCAAGGTCAATGGACAGAGGCCTCATCACCACCTGAAGATGCCCACATGATCATATTCAGAACTTTTAATTGGAAGAGTCTTTTGGACTTTGGGGGGTGGGAACAATTCCATTCCTTTGTATATGTGATCTGTGTGCCAATTTCTCAGATTCGAAATTCCATCTGTAGCTTCCACTTTAATTTCCAGTAAAAGGATAACTTTGCTCTAATCCACGGAGTCTGAGTATTTCTTTCTTGGATTTTGAAGGGAGCACACACTGACAGGCAGTCTGAGGTTTTGCAGCCAAGATCTGGTAGTACAATTTGAATAAGTATTATTAAAATCCTGTCGCATTTAGTTGGTCAGGCACAAATTTGTCTTTCTATTTTCCTTCAGTATTCCCCACTTCCCCTGGCAACTGTGATAATGATTCTTTGGGATGGTTATAGCTGCTGTGCACTTCCACATAAACGGGTATATATTTCAGTTGTATGAGCTATAACTCTTACTTGATGGGTATGACTACAAAATTTGTTGGAATGGAGTGGGTGGCTGGAGGAACACGTGTGTATTCTAGAAAAAGCATAAAGCTGCTAAAAGAAAGCAAAATATATCCCTTCACTGTTGCAATCGGAGTTAAGTGTTAATTCTCAAGAGCTGAACTTCAGAGGAGAAAATCTCATTGGCAGGAAATTACATCTTTATTTTTGTCAACAGTGGATGGACCTCACCATAGAGCTAAACTGAAGAAGTGTGCAGATGTGCATGTTTGTTGGTACTGGGTTTAAAAAACAACAAAACAGCAGGTGGAATCTGCCATTGCAGTATAGGTAGTTCTCAACTAAGGACCACATTTGAGCCCAAATTTTCTGTGGCTAAGCAAGGCCATTGCTGAAATGAATTGCACCCCATTTTACCATCTTTTTTTGCCACAGTTGTTAAGCAAATCACTGCAATTGTTAAGTGAAGCCTGCAGTTGTTAAACAAATCTGGCTTCCCCCTCATTAACTTTACTGGTTGAAAGCCAGCTGAGAAAGTTAGAAATTGGGATCCCATGATTGTGGAAGGATGCAATTATCATAAATACAAACCAGTTGCCAAGCGCCCAAATTTTGATCATGTGACCATAGAGATGCTGCAAAACTCATAAGTGCAAAAACTGGTCATAAATAACTTTTTTCAGCATCTTTGTAACTTCAGTCACTAAGTGAATGGTCGTAAGTCGAGGACTACCTATATTATATGAAAAGCTCACAGCTTTTCAACCTTCATTTGCTGCATCATTTGTAATGCTTTGTAATACCATTCTGGATCTGTTGAGATCCATTTTGCATCTCTGAAGATCCTCCCTTATTTTACCGGTCTCCGGGGGTTTTCTTCTTCTTTTCCACTCGTTGGGGGGTCTTCTCATCCCCTTGCTTCAGAAAGAGAGCTTCGAAACTCCCAACTTTTTGATTAATGACACAACATGACTGATGGCACAACATTGATTGGTCTCATTCGAGACAGTGATGAATCTGCATACAGACAGAAGGTTATACAACTTGCCTTGTGGTGTAACCGGAACAATCTGGAACTGAACACACTCAAAACCGTAAAAATGGTGGTAGACTTTAGAAGAGACCCTCCCATACTACCACCTCTTACAATACTAGACAACAGAGTATCACCAGTAGAGACCTTCAAATTTCTAGGTTCTACTATATCACATGACCTAAAATGAACATCTAACATCAAAAACGTCATTAAAAGAATACAACAAAGAATGTTCTTTCTGCGCCAACTCAGAAAGCTCAAACTGCCCAAGGAGCTGCTGATCCAGTTCTACAGAGGAATTACTGAGTCTGTCATTTGCACCTCTATACCTGTCTGGTTTGGTTCTGCAACCCAACAGGACAGACACAGACTTCAGAGGATAATTAGGACTGCAGAAAAAACAATTACTACCCACCTGTCTTCATTTGAGGACCTGTATACTGCACGGGTCAAAAAGAGGGCTGTGAAAATATTTACAGATCC